CTGATTACTTGACCATTATTGGGACCACCATTTAAACAACTACTTAAATTGCTTGAACCACCTGAACCCTTCTTGAAACATTGCTTAGACCACTATTTGAATCACTGAGCGAACTACCACTTGAACTACCATTATTTATTAAGCTCTTCTGTCTATAAATTATTGATTAGCTTTACTAATACCGAAATTTATAAACCAATGTCAATGCATAATATGACAATAGTGAAATCTATTGTATTAAAAAAATGAATTAATAAATTATAAAAAAATTATAAAAGATAAAAAAAAAAGAAAATAATTATTTACCTTTAAAAATAAAATATAACCGGGCGGAATTTTAATAATTTACGTCTTGAACCATCATTGGACGTACTGAACCATAGTGTTCTTCGGCATGATGAGATAAAATAATTGCTCTATCATTTTCAATTGAACTTGGAACAATTTCAATGAAAAAGCTGCTATTAGATTCAACAGATGAAATAATTGTTATCTTTGATTTATAAACTTCAGCAGCAGCAATTAATGTTAAGTGGTCACCCCAAGTACCTCTTCTTGCCATTTGGTTGCAATATTTATTCCAATTTGTAGTGTGTGCAAATTGGGATATTTTGGCACCATTTTTAAGGGTGAGATTCTTATTTTTAATGAGCCAAGTGGCAATGGCTCTTCTTATTTCGAAACTATGTTTCAAGTCCCCAAAAATTTGGTCAGATAATGCGTACATCTGACAATTGCCATCTCCTGGAATTACTCTACTATTCTCTAATTGGTAGAGCTCTAAACGTTGATTTAAACGTCTTATGGCTTCCTCAGGTGGTGATGGCTGTGGATTTTTGACTGCCCCTGAGTTAATACTAGTTGCAGCTGTTGAAATAACTGGGGCTGTGGCAGCTGTTGATGTAGTGGCTATAGTTGAATTTGAGATTGGAGGTGGAGTTGAACCCATTGGTTCAAGATACTGACCCTGATGATCAACAAGGTGTTTGTTGTTTGTTGTTGGTTGTGGTTGTGATTCTTGTGGTTCTTGTTGTTGTTGTCCTTCTTCTTCTTCTATTTCGTAATCACGAATACTTTGAAGAAGTTTTTTATAATCAGGGGTAGATGCGGTGCTTTTTGGTTTTGGTTTTGGTTTTGGTTGTGATTGTGATTGTGATTGTGGTTTTGGTTGTTGGGGTTGGGGTTGGGGTTGGGGTGCTTGTGATTGTGATGGATGGTCTTGGATTTTGTTATGGATGTTATTGTTGGTTGTTGGTTGTAATGGTGATTGTGGATTTTTTTGTGGAGTGTTATTTTTTTTATGGAAATCCTCATAAAATGCGTCGTCGAAGAAAAAGTCATCGTCGTGCTTCATGGTTCCATCTGGGTAGTAGTGTTTGGTGGTGTTATTTTTGATTTTTTTAAAAAACCAATAAAAAATGAACAAAACGAAAAAACAAATTACAATATAAAACATTTTTTTTACTATCTACAAATAAAATAATAATAATTTATTTACAAAAAATATATTTTTTTTTTTTTTTTAATAATATACAAACAAAAAATAAAATTAATTACAAAAAAAACAAATAACAAATAATATAATAATTTATTTACTAAAATAAATGTATTTTTTTTTTTTTTTTTTATAATAATATACAAAAAAAAATAAAATTATTTACAAAAAAAATGTAATAAAATAATAAAAAGCTATTAGTGAAGTTGAGGGGTGAAAAAAAATAAAAATAAAAAAAATAATGTAATAAAATAATATTGTGGTATGGGAAAAGTTGATTGGGGTAAAAAAAAGCAATATAAAATGTAAAATAGTGTGTGTGGTAATGAAAGCTATTATTTTTAATTAAAAAAAAATTTATAAAACACATTTTTTAATTAAAAAATATATAAAAAAATTAAAAAAAAATATTTTAAATTAAAAAAACAATACATTAAAATATTTTTTTTTTTTTTTTTTATTTAAATTTGGAAAAAATCATATAAATTGCGAACTTAACTTTTATACAAATTGCCTTATAATCAACTATATAAAAAAAAGTTTTCCGCCTTTTTAAAAAAATTTTTATTTTTTAGGAAAAACACTTTCTCATTTAAAGGGGGGCCAATTGGGGTTTCAATTTCCGGAAAAATTTCCCCTTGGTTTTACAAAAAAAGATTGGTTTTCTTTCCTTTTCTTTTTCAATTTTTTTCTTTACAATTTAATACCTTATAGACTGGTAAAATCACAAACCAATATTTTAGAGGATAATTTAATTAAAGGAAAATATTAAAAAAGTTTTTTTTTTTTTTTTTTTTTTTTTTTTTTTTTCTTTTCTTTTCTTTTCTTTTCTTTTTTTTTTTTTTCTTTTCTTTTCTTTTCTTTTTTTTTATTTCAATCAATAGATTTTTATTAAATTCTTTTTTTATTTATTGTTATACATAAAATTCCCGATGGTTTAGAATTATCATCAATTATTTTATCACAAAAGAAATTTTTAAGTCCAATCGGCGGTGGAAATGTATATAAAAAAAATATTAAATTTTATTTAAATGAACGTCAAAGCATTATTATGAAAATATGTAGATTCAAAATCTACAGTATTTTTATTACAATTTAAATTTATATTTATTAAATTATTTTAAATATATTAAAAATTAAAAAATTAAATAAATCAATAATTATTAAAAATTCACCCTTTTTTTCATTGTAATGTTATTTTAATCAAAAATTTAACATGCAGTAACACTTTTTTTAATATAATATTCAATCTCTATATTGAATTTTTTTTTTTATTAATAATACAAAATAATATAATATAGAGATTGATTATTATATTAAAAAATGTGTTTATTAAAAATATAAAATTCTTTTTAGGAAATAAAAAATTTACTTTGGCATTTAATAAATCATTCTATAGAGAATTTAATAAAATTTTTATAAAAAAAATTAGATTTAATCAAAGTGTTCAATTTTAAAAAAAGATAAAAAAAAAATGAAATACAACTTAAAACTTTTTAATTTAAAAAAAAATTATAATATATCTCAGCAGTTTTTCCAACCTCAAATGCCAAACCATCTCATAGAGTACATCTATAAATTCAGAATATAAAAATTAAAAAATATTAAAATATACCCACACCCATAACAGCAATAAGACCAATAGTAGACACACTGACCTCATTTCTTGTTTATACATCATACTCGTCAAAATCAAAACTTTCTTCTCAGCAACCTCTTCAGATTTAATTATTTCAATGAATGATTCAAACATAAAGAGCGATCATTCAACAAAAGATGAATCTTAAAAATAACTTATCATCAATTAATTCAAATACTTGAACAATAGAAAGCAATTATATTTCTAATGAAAAGTTATCGAATACTCTTGCTTTTTTGATAAAGTAGATATTGATGATAAGCAAACAACAACAATCAAAACTATAAATAACAGTTCATCTTCAATTTGCAACTCATAGTTTAAAAAAAATCGCCATCTTCTACACCTTCATCATCATCATATAATTTAACACAACCATCACCATTTAATAATAACAGCAACACCTCACCATTGGTACCTCCACAACATCTACTTCTATTACCAGTTTAAATAAATATATCTCTGCAAAATTAAATAATAAATTTTTTATTTTTTTTATTTTTTCTATTTATTAAATTTTTCATTTGTTCATTCATTCATTTATTTGTTTATTTATTTATTTATTTATTTGTTAATTAATTTATTTATTTATTAATTTATTTATAAATTGATCCCGCTGAATATATTAAAATTAGTTTAATTTGTTTATAAAAATATTAATTTGTCTAATTGTGCCTGGATCTTTATAACCAGTTAATCGAGGGAGAGTTTTTTCATATTCCTTATTTCTCCCATAGTTGATTTAAATCTTTAAATTGTTGAGCTGTGGTTATTTTGATGATGAGTGAAAATTAAAGTTTAACGGACTTCTTGAAGTGACGAGGTATGATATTACCTAATTTGATGAATAGCTATGAAAACTTCTGTATTCTTTACCTTCTCTTCCTAAAACTATTTTATTTCTATCATAATTACTTGGCCAGAGCAAATTAATGATATTTATAAAATAGTTGATTGGATTGATTGGCACAATAAATCAACTATACTGTATTGTTATTATATTGAAGATCTCTACTCACTTCCCTTATTCTTTTAACTTCTTTTTTTATTTTCGGTTCTTAATCTGGTTTTGTTAGCTTGACCGATTATTATTTAAATTGTTTGGACTCCTACAATTCAATGTATTAAACATTTGAAGTCCACATGAATCACTAATAGATATAACACCATTTGAAACTGCATTTGCTTCACCACCTAAATAACTATTTGAAACACTATTTGAACTACTACTTGAACCAACCACATTTGATTTACTATTTATATAGCTACTTGAGCCAACCACATTTGATTACTATTAATATAACTTAAAAATTTAAATTTCTTGACCACCGTTTGAATCCCCACACGAACTACCCCTTTGAACGACCATTTGACCACCCCTTGAACGATTACTTTCACTGCCTTTTCACTGATTACTTGAACCATTATTGGGACCACCATTTGAACCACTACTTAAATTGCTTGAACCATTCTTGAAACATTGCTTAGACCACCATTTGAATCACTGAGCGAACTACCACTTGTATTCCATTATTTAGCAAACCCTTCTGTCTATAAATTATTGATTAGCTGTACAGCTAATACCGAAATATATAGACCAATGTCAATATTATGACAATTGTGAAATCTATTGTATTAAAAAAATGAATTAATAAATTATAAAAAAATTATAAAAGATAAAAAAAAAGAAAATAATTATTTACCTTTAAAAATAAAATATAACCTGGCTGAATTTTCTATAATTTTAACAATTTACGTCTTGAACCATTATTGGACGTACTGAGCCATAGTGTTCCTCGGCATGATGTGATAAAATAATTGCTCTATCATTTTCAATTGAATTTGGAACAATTTCAATGAAAAAGCTGCTATCAGATTCGACTGATGAAATAATTGTTATTTTAGATTTATAAATTTCAGCAGCAGCAATTAATGTTAAGTGGTCACCCCAAGTTCCGCTTCTTGCCATTCTGATGCAATACTTATACCAATTTTTAGTGTGTGCAAATTGGGATATTCTTGCACCATTTTTAAGGGTGAGATTCTTATTTTTAATGAGCCAAGTGGCAATGGCTCTTCTTATTTCCAAACTATGTTCCAAGTCCCCAAAAATTTGGTCAGATAATGCGTACATCTGACAATTGCCATCTCCTGGAATTACTCTACTATTCTCTAATTGGTAGAGCTCTAAACGTTGATTTAAACGTCTTATGGCTTCCTCAGGTGGTGATGGCTGTGGATTTTTGACTGCCCCTGAGTTAATACTAGTTGCAGCGTTTGAAATAATTGGGGCTGTAGCGGCTGTTAATTTTGGTTGTGGTTGTGATTTTGGCTGTGATTCTTGTGGTTCTTGTTGTTGTTGTTCTTCATCTTCTTCTATTTCGTAATCACGAATACTTTGAAGAAGTTTTTTGTAATCAGGGGTAGATGCGGTGTTTTTTGGTAATGGTTGTGATTGTGATTGTGGTTGGGATTGTGATTGTGATAGTGGTTGTGGTTGTTGGGGTGGGGGCGATTGTGATAGTTGGTCTTGGATTTTGTTGTGGTTGTTATTGTTGGTTGTTGGTTGTGGTTGTGATAGTGATTGAGGATTTTGTTGTGGTGGGTTATTTTTTTTATGGAAATTCTCATAAAATGCGTCGTCGAGGAACAAGTTTTCGTCATACTCGGTTCCGTCTGGGTAGTAGTGTTTGGTGGTGTTATTTTTGATTTTTTTTAAAAACCAATAAAAAATGAACAAAACGAAAAAACAAATTTCAAAATAAAACATTTTTTTACTATTTACAAATAAAATAAAAATAATTAATAAATAATATATTATTTTTTTTTTTTTTATATAATATACAAACAATTATTTACAAAAAAAATAAATAACAAATAAAAAATAATATAATAAACTAATTTATTTATAAAATATTTATTTTTTTTTTTTTTTTTAATATAAAAACTAAAAACAAAAAAAACAAATCTAATAAAAAGTGAAGTTGAATGAGGTGTGTAAAAAAAAAAAAAAATATAATAAAATAATATTATGCTATGGGTAAAGTTGATTGGGGTAAAAAAAAAGCAATATAAAATGTAAAATAGTGGGGGTGGTTATGAAAGCTATTATTTTTAATTAAAAAAAAAAAATTTATAAAACACACTTTTTTTTAATTAAAAAATTAAAAAAAAATATAATAAATTAAAAAAACAATACATTAAATATTTTTTTTTTATTTTTTTTTTATTTAAATTTGGAAAAAATAAAATAAATTGCGAACTTAACTTTTATACAGATTACCTTATAATCAACTAAATAAAGTAAAGTTTTCATCTTTATAAAAAAATTTCTATTTTTTTAAGAAAAAACAGTTTCTCAATTAAAGGAGGTTCAATCTGGTTTTACAATATTTAGATAAAAATTCATCAACAATTTTTACAAAAGAGTATTTAATTTTTTTCTTTTCAATTATAGACTGATAAAATCACACACAATATATAAGAGATATTTAATTAAAGAAAATTATTAATAATTTTTTTTTTTTTTTTTTTTTTCTTTTCTTTTCTTTTCTTTTCTTTTCTTTTCTTTTCTTTTCTTTTCTTTTCTTTTCTTTTCTTTTCTTTTCTTTTCTTTTCTTTTATTTCAATCAATAACTTTTTAAATTCTTTTTTTTATTTAATTCTACTATTTTTTTAAAAAAATAATAACTTTGCAAAATAATTACATAATTAATAATAGTTATAATATTTATTTAAACGGGGAAGATCCCCAAGGAATAAGACTTTTAAATTCATTGGAGAATAGATTTAACGGAATTCAATCACCAAACCGGGAGGGGCAAAGAGATATTTTGGGAGGGTTCCCCAAAATAGAATTTCAACAGTTCCAATCTAACACCTCCACCTACCGGTCCAATAACAACGCAAAAGGAACTGTCTCTAGCCGAAATATGGCGGGTTACAAATGTAAAGTTATAGTTAAAGAAGGACTAGATTCTGATTTTGGAATCACGCGTGTAAGATTGCCAAAAACCCTTACTGGTTAAAAAGGCTAGCATTTTATCGCGCCCCGTAAAGAAAAATAAGGAATTGAAATTTCC